GCTGAACCAAACACCCCGAAAGTACGGACACCTTTCAATAAGCTACTGAGATTCACTGGTCATTTCTGATGTGCCGGGCTTGGCGTGCATCCCAGGACACGACAGACAGCAGTCCTTATGGCCTTTAGAAGCCAATGCAGACCAGAGGACATGGACCCCAGCAGGCATACCATCAGTGCACTGAAGGGGCTGTCCCTCCACGTTTCTTCCTGCCTGCATATGTCACTCTAGTGAGAGAGCCAGGAGCAAGGTGCAAAAAAAGAGCATGCATTTATGTGCATGAAAGTGACTCTTCCTTGTCTACACATACAAATGAAACCTGGAGATAAATAAATCTTCTGAAAGTTAAAATCCTATGGGTAGTAGGCTGAATAGTGTCCCCCAAAGATCCATGTCCAGTCAGAACCTTGAATGTGACCTTATTTGGAAATAGGGTCTTTGCGGATGTAATTAGTTAATGATCAAGATGAGGTCATACTGGATTAGGGTGAGCCCTAAATCCAATGAGAATGTCCTTATAAGAAGGGGAGAGGACATAGAGAAGAAGACCACGTGAGGACAGAGGCGGACAGAGTTTGGGGTTCTGCTGGCACAAGCCAAGGAATGCCTGGGGCCACTAGAATCTAGGAAGAGGCAAGGAAGGCTCCTCCTCCCCTAGAGACTTTGGAGGGAACATGGCCCTGCTGACGCCTTGATTTTGGACATCCAGCCTCCAGAGCTGTAGGAGAAGACATTTCTGTTGTTTGAAGTCACCTGGCTTGTGGCACTGTGTCACAGCAGCCCTAGGAAACTAATACACCTTGTCTGAGGCTTGGTCTTGAGACCTTCTTGCTCAGAGCCCCACTATTTACTTTCCAGGTGACCCTGGAGAAGTCACTATCTAAGCTTCAGTTTCCTCGTCTGTAAAAATAGCACCGTTGGGCTTCCCTCGTAGCGCAGTGGTTAAGAATCTGCCTGCCAGTGCAGGGGACACAGGTTTGAGCCCTGGTCCGGGAAGATCCCACATGCCTCAGAGTAACCAAGCCCGTGCGCCACAACTACTGAAGCTGGCGTGCCTAAAGCCCGTGCGCCACAATAAGAAGCCTGCGCACCACAATGAAGAGTAGCCCCCATTCGCCACAACTAGAGAAAGCTGGTGTGCAGCAACGAACACCCAATGCAGCCAAAAATGAATTAAAAAAAAAAAATAGTACTATCTACCGTCAAGGAGAGGGAGTGTTTGAGTACATGAGAAAATGAACACAAGAGCTCTTTGTCAACAGCCAAATGATATGTACATATTATTACATTCCTCTTTTACAGCTATGTTCCAACCTATAAAGGTGCTACTCTATGGAAGAGAATTCCATTTATTCTGGATTACTCAGCATAGTAGAACCTGGGTGAAATTATGAGAGGCAGATTTTGACTGAAAAAGAACATACTGTGGGGTTCCTAGAAGCAGAGCACAGGATGGAGATTCTTGTGCAAGTGATTTTTTGAAGGAGAAACCTGTAAGGAAGTGAGAGAAGCAGGAGAAGGCAGGGGTAGAAGTGAGGCAGAGTCCAGCCTCAGCATGATGCACAGAGAGCTATGGTGCATGACAGCACCGTGGTGTTTCCTGCTTTGGTGGGGGATGGGGGCTATTGTTCCTGCCATCTGTCAGTCCCAAGCCCAGACTAAGTAGGAATCCTTCTTAAGGGAAACAACTCAACTGGGAGGTTTATCTCCTTATTCTTTCCCCCTACTCCTCCCTGCTGGTGGAATGCAGATACAGTGATGGAAGCTCCAGCAGTCATTTTTGGACCCTGAGGTCCAAATCGGAACTGGACTATCAAACTCAACTCCTTTTATGTGGTAATAAACTCTTGTCTGTTTAAGCCACTTGTTTTTTGTGTTTTCTCTGATACATAATCAAACTTAATTTTAAAATAGGGTTGTTTTTATTTTGGCAATGGCATTTCTGGTTTCAAAAATGTTACTTGTAACTAAGATCATGTACTATATGCTCTCCAGATTATAATGCTCCTCCTTTGAAAATGGAAGGATTACAATCTGAATAGCTATTTAAAAAAAATATTCTACCACCGTGTCTGGTGCTTAAATATATAAATGTTTCATTTATATATCAACTCGCGGGAGCTATACTATTATATACAGTTTACAGATGAGGAAACAGGATTGGAGGTTGGGCTGTGTAGGGCAACCGTGAGGAAAGTTGGCTCTGGAGTCAGATGGTCTTGGTTCTAATCCCACTCCACCACTTGCTAGGTTAGGCAACTTACTTAACCTTTCTGTGCCTCAGTTTCTCATTCTGTATACAGAGGGATGAGGTACTGCTGGGAGGATAAAAAGAGCTAATTCATGTAGTGCACTTACCAAAGTGCCTGGAACATAGTGAGGAGTTATTATAATGGCTCAGGGTTAAAGACGAGGCAGGATTTGAACCAAGATCTCTCCAACTCCAAGGCTCATGCTCCTTCAGCAACCACTGCAGCAGATAGGCCACCCTAGGTTAACACCTAGTCCGCTCTCATGACTGCTTAGACATCACCTCCTCTGGGAGAGCCTTCCCTGAGCCCCAAGATTAGGTTAGATGCTCCTCTCATGTCCTCCTGTAGCATCCTAAATGTACATCAGTAGTATTGATGATCACGCTACATTATTAATTGCCTGATTGCTGGCTTGTGCCACCCTTTACCCTGTAAGCCCTTTGAGAGCAATGATCATATATTATCCTTATATCCACAGTGCTAGCACATAAGAGACATTTAATACATATTACTGACTAAATGACAACTAAAATCAGACTTTAAAAATCTGAGGATGTTTGAGTTGGAAGGAACCATTGTGTCATCTCATCTAGTGATTCCAACAAGGGCCGTGCCACCTCCTAGGGGGCACATTTTAGAAATGCCAGGAGGTGTTTTTGGTTGTGACAGTGATTGGGGGACGCTACTGGAACGTGGAGGGCAGGGGCTGTGCTAAAAGATCTGTAATGGTTAGGAGAGTCCTGTGCAATGAAGAATTAACTACTCTCAATCCTGCACAACTTCCTCTAGAGTCTGGAAAGACACTTATGTAGGTGAGTGACCTGTTCATAGTTATTTGAATCTACACTCCAACTTTAATTTACACAAAGTAGTTTCTTACCGTTTTAATATATCTGAATATGCCAGGAATGCAACAACTGTGTATATCAGGGGGCAATTATACTTTGCTTTGTCCA